CCTACCTGTGTGAGCTGGCGTTCTCTACTCTGACTTACTTATATGAAGAACAACAGCAGGTCACGGCTGTCTGTTGAACAGGACTTGCGAGTTGCCCTCTCTTCAGTGCCACCGAGGATTTAAAAAATCTGCGCGCCCCGACAGGCACATGTATCCCATTAATCTGTAAATAGGCAAATTTTAAAATAGCACATGTTTCAATGCTGATTGGTGAAATGTTATATTCATAATTTGTAGTTCAGGACCATGTTTCCTTGCATTGACAGTTCTCTGTGCTGAGTTTCTGCTGAGTTTCCGTTGCCTCATTTTTAATTTTGTGACCTGTCTGGTTTTAATGAGTGTGTTGCTGCTTTGATGAAGCCTAATTTGCTAAAGTTTAATAAATTATATAATATATATATTATATATATATATATAATATATANTTATTATAATATATGACTATTATATCAATAAACTCTGAAGGCTTTAATTTGAGGACGTACCTCAGGAACAAATCAATTTCCAAAATAAAATACCAGGGTGTAACTAGTCGTACGGAGTGTTCTATGTTGTATCGGAACATTTACCTCTACGTGTGAGCTCACAGCCCACTGATCTAGATTATAAGATTTTCAGTAATGACTTTTAGCTCTGCTACTTGTTGTTTGATAGACGTCATGCTTGTCAGAGCTGGTGTGCTTAGTGCGATGAAATCCCCCAACTCTCATTTATTAACAGACATAGATAGTCTAGGTTCAAAGTGTTCTTGCTTGCACTCGGAAGTTATCTACATAATCAACGCTTTGTAACACACGGTTCGGCATTGTACAAGAAAGACGGTCAACTCTGAGTAATCTCTGCAATTGTTAACGATGCCGGCTGCACGCCTTTCGGACACTGGAAGAAATGCCCCGCTCGAAATGAATCAGATCTGCCGTGGACTCGCATCAGAGGCGTCTATGGGTCAACACCTTAAACAACATCACTTTCAATCTTCACTTGACACAATACGTCTCATTGCAGTATCAACACTAACGTGGCTGACTCGCTAGCGTTTGAGTCTAATTTGTACAATGGTTTTGTTGCTTTACTCCTAACGGTGGCACAGCGTTATAAAGAGCTTGTAGTTTTGAAAGGTTATTTTGTCCATTATTCTTTGTTCAATAGAGATGTTGTATACTGAGCCTGAAGTAAGCTATGATGTTAGCATATTCTGTACATGTCAATGTGAAAGCATGTATCGCAACATTACACATCTATAGAGGCTGTCCATGCAGAAGTGTCCTAACACTAATAATCAATGCATCCATTCTAACCTGTAGGGATGCAGATTTTGGGAAAAATCTAATTGCGATTTTTCTGACAAAAATTGCAATTGCGATTCGGATTGCATATTTGACATACGCTAGATCTCATAACTGCAGTTTAATTGTAGGAACAAATCAGGTCAAACTGCCTGTAACCGGATAGAAAGTGTCATTCAACGTGCTCCGCATTTAAGTATCCCCGCAGCCCGAGCTCGTGTACATAATAAACAACATTGAAACTTCCGTTCGGTATGCTTTAACACTAAAGTCCCAAGTTTAAGATTCACCTGTATAAGAACCGATCGTGATGGAGCATTACTGGAACTAATCAGCCATGGTTTGTTTCACCAAACCCATTTAGGAAAGCTCCATTCAGAAGCCATTTGGAAGGACAGACATTTCATAAAGACTTGGCAGGTGGATTGGATCAATCTGTCTAATCTCCTTCTAAATCATGGGCCTTCTGACTGATTAACAATGGCTGGACATGGTGGAGCACAGTAATTGTGACTTCCTGTTGGTGGTGGATGACCTGACACACAAGAAAATTTGAAAAAAAAATGTTCAAAAATCGCAGGTTTTGCGATTTGTAATCGCCTCATTTCAAATAGCGGATTCTCGAGTTTAATCTGATTAATGTTCAGCCAGTAAGTCCAAACTGGTCACATGTTAACGGGTCGGTCAGGGCTCCTCCATGTACTCTATTACAGATAGGGTACCCATTGAGAAGCAGCTTTCAACGGCTAGGGCGTGCCTAGACCAGTGGTTCCCAAACTTTTTGGGCCAAAGGCACACCAAAGGACAAGTAAAAATCTCAAGGCACACCTACCCTAAAATAAGCCCTTATAACACGTGTTATCACTCATATCATGTAAAATATCTGTAAATGTGCATACTTATTTACTAATGGCAAATAAAATGTGACAAAGACAACTATATTACTCATGAAATATTTATTAACGAAAAAATTTTTAAATTATTATAAATATAATATATATATATATATATATTATTATATATATATATATATATATAAATTTATTAAACTTTAGCAAATTAGGCTTCATCAAAGCAGCAACACACTCATTTAAACCAGACAGGTCACAAAATTAAAAATGAGGCAACGGAAACTCAGCAGAAACTCAGCACAGAGAACTGTCAATGCAAGGAAACATGGTCCTGAACTACAAATTATGAATATAACATTTCACCAATCAGCATTGAAACATGTGCTATTTTAAAATTTGCCTATTTACAGATTAATGGGATACATGTGCCTGTCGGGGCGCGCAGATTTTTTTAATCCTCGGTGGCACTGAAGAGAGGGCAACTCGCAAGTCCTGTTCAACAGACAGCCGTGACCTGCTGTTGTTCTTCATATAAGTCAGAGTAGAGAACGCCAGCTCACACAGGTAGGTAGTGGGAAAATGAAGTAGTTGCTCAATCGCGTGGTGGGAGATGCTTGGGTACTCCGATGCAGAAGCCAACCAAAACTGATCCAGTGGGAGCTCACTGAATTTGAGTTTCAGTGTGCGGTCCACACGGAGCTCTGCGCACTCCTCTCTCTCTTTCATGGAGAGCTTCTCTGTGGAGGATTCCTGGTGGAATGGGTCTTGGATCCAGTCATAGTCCTCGATGTCAGCCACACGTGGAAAATACTGCTCAAACCTCTCTTTTAAGGTCTGAAGGTGTTCCGCATACACAGCGCGCTCCTTAGCTGCCTGCGGCGCAGCTGATGTCAGCGGGAACATGTCCATGGAGCCCTGCTCCAAAGCCTCCTGCCACAGGAGAAGTTTGCCCATAAACCCCCGAATCTTATCTGTGGACGATAAAATGTTTTCATTCCTTCCCTGAAGCTTGGCGTTTAACTCGTTCAGATGCCCAAATATGTCTGCGAGGTAAGCCAGCCTGGCGCACCACCTCTCATCCGCGAGCTTGTCTTTATGTGGGACAGCGTTTTCACCTGAAAACTCCAAAAGCTGTTTCCGAAGCTCATAAAGACGGGATAGGACTTTCCCCCGTGACAGCCAACGTACCTCTGTGTGCAGGATCAGGCTTTGGTGGTCGGCTCCCATCTCGGCGCACAGCTGGGAGAAGAGGCGAGATTTCAGGGGCCTTGATTTTATGTAATTCACCATCTGCACGGCCTGATTCAGCACCTCAGTCAACTCCGGGGGCATGGTTTTGGCAACTAATGCCTCTCGGTGCAGAATGCAGTGGTTTGTCACGATATGTGGGTTTTGTGCCCTCACCTTAGCAATGAATCCTTTCACTCTCCCCGTCATGCTCGCCGCACCATCTGTGCAAAGACCGACGCACATATTCCAGGTCAGACTGTTCTCTTTAAAATAGTCATTAGTTACCCTGAATATTTCCTCTCCCGTGGTGTGGCTTTCCATTTCTTTGCAGAATAAAAATGTCTCTTTGATGGAGTCAGCATCAACATATCTGACGTTTGCCAGAAGTTGGGCAGCCCCACTGATGTCCGTAGATTCATCTATTTGGAGGGAAAATCTGCCGCTCGCCTGCAGTTTCTCTGCCAAATGTTCCTCAATGTCTTCGGACATGTCGTCGATTCTTCTTTTGATCGTATTATCAGACGACGGCACTTTCGATAGCTCATTTGCGGCATCTGGACCCAGCATGACACCTGCAAGTATTTTGCAAGCAGGGAGGATGAGTGTCTCCGCTATTGTGTGAGGCTTCTTCTGCTTTGCAATGAGCTCCGCTAGCATGTAACTCGCCTCCATTGCCTTATCAGACACTTTCACAGAATCCAACAAACGTCCTTGCTGCCTCTGGTTCAGATCCCGCGCTCTTCTGAAGTAGTCCAAGTTACTGTGAACATGGGCGGGATGTTTGGTTTCCAAGTGCCTCTTCAGCTTGCTTGGAACCATGTTAGCATTAGCTAACTTCTCCCGACAGACGACGCACTCGGGCTGAGGATTGTTCACATCCCCGGTCCAAATGAAGCCAGAAGACAGATAACTGTCATGGTACTGTCTGCTGACAGTTTTTTTCCTCTTCTCTTTCGGTGGTGGGTTGTCGGCAGTCTCTACACTGGTGGTTGCTGGTTTGCTCCGCACAAAAGCGCTCCATTTTCCCGCTTGCTTGTTTCTCAGTTTTAATATTGTCCTTCAGCCTTTGATGTGTCACAGTCTTATAAATCCCACCTGCGCAACTGCGTTAACAGCGGAATACGGGGTTCTGTGAGGATTATTTTTTAAATAATCGTTTTTAGGTATAGAGTTTGCCTCTGTATTATGAAATGTGTGCATACAAAGTACTGATATAGTAAAATAAAAAAATAATTATTTTTGTGTAGTTGTATATTGCAATAATAACGTATGTTTGTCACAAAATCCACGGCACACCTGGACTTGCCTCACGGCACACCAGTGTGCCGCGGCACACCGTTTGGGAACCACCTGATCTACTCGTATGGCAGGTGAGGGGCAGTGATGTTACAGCGTGGAGGAGCAAAACTGCAATGATGCAAACTCCACAAGAACAGAGAAAATCAAAGTTGTCTCTCCACGAGAAAGAGTTGATTTCCAACTTCATTTATTTCATTTTCATTTTCTATCTCTATACTGCCGCGCTGGACGGGATCTTTATAGCCATACCCAGCAGCTTCTAACTGAAGCCAGTCCCCAACTCCGGGGGACTTCCGGCCGGGGATTTTGGGCGGCAGTAATACCCGCCGTGGAGTTGTGTGCGGCCTGCCACGAAACCCAAAGCAGAAGAAGAAAGAAGTGACGTCAGGCTTCTCTCTCTTCTGCGATCATCCAGACGCTCTCGCGCGCGCGCTCTTCTCCTCAAATTCTGCCCTCCTCGACTACACGACTCCCTCAATCCACCGTCGTGCACCCGGACAATGATTTTCCACGTGCGCAATTTTGAAGGGACATCTCATTTCTCCTAAATGCACTTCGAGGACCCGACGCATCGAGCATTCGAGGAGGCTCTCTGGAGGAGCTCTAACCGAGGAGACACTGATGCATCCTCCACGCGCTACTCCGCCTCGCTATCGGCCGGTGGAGGCGTGACGCACGCCGGACTTATTCAGCCAATGATAGCTCTCGCCGCCATCCCCTTGGATATATATTTTAGTAACACGCTCTGCTTAGCATCGCAACGCGATGTTTACAGTGATAACAGCTGTGAGGTCGTGAAGAAAGCAGAGCAGTGTTTAAAAATATATACACCTCGTATAACGGTCTATATTGACTTTCTGTATTTGTTGCCTGGGGAGGGAGGTAATATTACAAACAAAGAGTCAAATAATTTTTCGTAAGACCATTTAGTGCTTCACATAATAAAAATACACAAACGGCTGTAGCCTGAATTATGCTTTAGGAGCCATAGGTGTGTGTGTGGTAAGCAGTCCTGTATGTGTGTGTTGTAACAGTGCGTACGACTGCGGCGGCACAACGCGTCTCAGTTGGTTTTGGTGTCCTCTTGCTTACTTTTAAATACTTGGTACAACTTTTGGCCCGTTAATTTCCAATTCCCCATTTGGAAGCAACAGAGAGAGAGTAGAGAGGGGGGGTTGGGGGGATATCCAGTCTCTGATTTGTTACGTTATTAATGAGAGGTGCTCTCCATACTTGTTTGATTCTGAAATTGTATATATTATATATATATATGTGTGGTGTGTGTGTATACGTCTGCATCTGCCCTCGCGCCTCTCCCGTCCTCAATTATCACCGCACTGTCCAATGCAATAAAAGAGATACTATACAACACAGTAACATCGCAACACAACCATATATACTGATACCACAGAGTGCTCAGAGCCGATATCAGTACAAGTCAATACCAATATCTAATCGCACACACATTAAAACAACCTCCAGCGAGCACGGACGATAACATAACATACAACAAAGACAAAACGCCTGCTTCCACTCCTATACAACATCCTCGGTACACACATATACCTCAGCACACATTACCGCCTCCGCAACACAGAGCGCATACACCCAACGTCTCGAGGCAGCACCGCGCTCGGAGTTCGAGGAGGCGGACTCTCACACAATTCGAGATACCTCTATAGAAAAAAACAACAAACACAACTCCACACAAACACACCGCGCCCAAAAAACAAACAACACCCAACCACAACAGACGGATCACAAAATCCGAAAAAAAACATCAACCGACCCGTTGTAAAAACATGGCGGGGTATGAACCACGCGAAATAGTTCCCAATATTGTCATTTGCAGGCGTTGGATCTAATTCACTTAACATTCACTAACATTGCACTTTAGCTGATGCGTATCATCCAAGCCAACTTACGTCCGCGGTGGATACAGTTCCAGAGGTAAGTTGCTTCGAAAATATGAACTCTTTTGAATTGTCCAACTGTCTAATATTCGTCACAGAAGCCTTTATGAGTGCTTCATAATGGTCATCTTTGTTATGCATCAGCGTAATCTATCTATATTCTTATCTTGGATTGTTACACAAACTGTTGCTAGCCATACCTGCTATTACGCTAGCGGCACTTCGTCACCTTCTGAGGTACAGATTTCAGTAATGAAATCGCTAGCAAGCTTACTATACTGCTGGGTAACTAACCAAGCAGGATAATAACAAGAATATGTTATACATTTTCTCTGCAACATGCCCGGAAAACACGCCTCCTCCCTAGAAACAAAAAATTCTTCTGTATTGAAACTCGCCTCAGCACTATTCAGAAGAACAGATAAAATACACTAATAATCACAAAAGTCTCATCATGCATCTTTGGCGCATATACACTCAGCAATTCATCTATGTGAAATGTTTCAATGTAATGTCGTCTTCTTCGCTTGCTGCTACTGTTCCGTGTTAAATAATTGTCACGTCACAACCTAGCCTAGCGCCCTACTTTTTACATGCTTGATCTGCATCGATACAGGATAGAGTCCTCTTATTGTAATATACACACTACGTTTACATCGATTGATCTAAAGCATATTGTTGCCAGTTCAACAGGAGCAGCTCATAGCTACTGATCCCGGCTAGTCTACAGCAGCTGAATGTCAGAGATAAGCACCTCAAACACATGTTACATCGAGGCACATCAACTGAATGTTTGACATTTCACACAACGTGGAGAAAATTAACAAGCAGCACTTAAGAGAACTGGAGCTACATAATAGGGAATCTGGTTTCTGAATTCAGAGGAAGATGGAGCATCGGCCATTGTTGTTGTTTGTCGGTGGGTCAGCTGTGAGGGGATTCCGCGCGGTTTGGCTATTGAAGGGCAGGCACGCTACGGTTAACGTCATGACGCAAACGATGACTCAAGGACCGCAGCCCCAGTCGACTCTGTGTTGTAACAGAGCCGGAGCTAGACCTGAAGAACCCGGTTCTGAACCTGAAAAGCCAGCACGGACTAACCGGAGCGTTGGTGTGAACGAGGTAATTCATTTGCAGTGTAATTCTCACACAGAGCCTCTTGGTGGAGGCTCCTCTGCAGCCGTCTTCTTGTACAGGAGAGAGATTTTAGCGCAGGGACTTTTCAGTGAACACTTTAGACCATCGGTGGGTAAGGCAGAGTAAAACAGCATGTGTTTGAAGTATATCAGCAAAACTAGGCTTGCTTCACGACTAAACATTTTGTCAACACAGTTGACACAAACCAAATACAAGGAGTGTGCCGCGCACGGAATGTAATGTTGAGTGTTGCTTTATCTTGCAGTCCATTACATGAGTGATCCATTATGATCATAAGCCTGGACATGGCAGTTTGAGAGATACAGCCCATAATCAATGACCATCTTCATTCTCACAAGATGAGATTGTTCACTTGTCACTGAAAGGGCCGCCTTTACTCAGTCGACCCCTGGGCACTCTCTTTGCCTAGGTTGTCCATATGGTTAATACGGGCCTTGTCATATCAAATGATTCACAGCTGGATTACGATTACTCAGCCACCTGATGTACATCACGTGTGCTTCGGTTAATCACATAATAAGGCCACTGTGACAATGTCATTTTGCTTTGCTCGATTCGAGAAAACAAATAGTTTTTTAAGGAGTTTAGACGCTAACAACCAGACATCACTACCACTCCAGCTAGCGTGTGCAGGGTAGCGAATTCATGGTTACCCGCCGCGCTAGGGCGTATGTCTCGCTGAATCGATGGCTTCATGGTGCTGGGGGGGTTATGGTATCGGGCACGTATGATGGACGCGCAACACCAGGCAATCGATCTCACAACATTCACTGCGGCCTCTCCACGGAATGCATCTCTCAGGGAAGGTGCGACAGGCGCTGATCCACCGGCGGAACTTACTCTCAGCCCATCGACCTCTGCATCCGCATCCCTGGATATTATTTTAGTACCTGCTTCTCCCGCGCACGCGATGTTTCCAGTGAAGAACAGCTGTGAGGTCTGTCGCCAGAAAGCAGAGCACGTGGTAAATATATATCCACTCCAGTAATACCACCAGCGCCTACTCTCTGCTATTTGCTTAGTTTAGTAGCCACTATCTACAAACAAACGCAGTCGACTATCTTTCTAAGCCAATTTGTGCTTCCATAATCAAAATAACACAACGGCATGTAGCTTGATTATGCTTAGGCGCTGTAGGTGTTTGTTGGCACGTGTGTTAGGCCCTGCGTGTGTACAGTGTGTAGGTGCTGTGTGTTGTCAACAGCTCGCGTCAGATGCGGCGGACAGACGCCGTCTCAGTTGCGCTTTGTATCTATGCTTACTTTAAAAATACTTGTAAACTACACACTTTTGGCCGGTAAATTTCTATTCCCCATTCTCAGCGCCAAGAGAGAGAGGGGGGGATACTAGCCAGTCTCTGATTGCTGTTAGCGTTATTAGTGCAGCAGTGCCTCTCCTCTTTTGCTTTGCATTCTGAAAAATTGGCCTACATTTATCATAAAATATGTG